AAATGCCATGGCCTCCCCGGCCAAGGTGATCCTCCCCTGCCCCGGGGCCCCAGCTTTATTTCCAGCGCAGACGCCGGGAATCCAGCGTCGCAGCAAGTTTAGCTCGGGGCCGCCAGAAAAGGCCCCTTCCCCCGAGGCTGCAGGGGACTGTGGCTCAGCGGTGGGGGAAGATAAAACCTGATCCCCCCCTTCCCCCCACAGCTACTTGCATAAACGGCTGCAAAAATAGAGCCCGGGCTGTTTTAACCGCGGCCCAGCACGGAGCCTGGTAAACAAAGGAGCTGCACACACCCAGGCAGCTGGGAGCAGCAGCAGCTTGGGACCATTGTGGAGGGGGGGAAGATTGTGGGGGGGAAGCAGGTGCGTGCTGCCCCCTGCCGCACAGATGCTGCCAGCAGCCCCGTGCTCAAATTATAGCCGGGAAATAGATACCTCTGCAGCCCGGCTGTAGGACGGCTCCGGGCTACAGGACGTGCTGGTGGGAGGTGGGTCAGAGCTGGAGGAGCAGACAGACCCAGGGCTGCCTCGGTGGCTGAACGGCCATCGTGGGGGGGCTCTGTCCCAGGCACGAAGCAGCCTAAGATACGGGTTCAAATTCGACCTCTGCCGCCACTTCTGCAGGTGACCCTGGGCCGGTCCCTTGCTCTCCGCCTGCAAAACAGCGTTAACAGCAGCCCCCTCTCCCAGAAGAGACGCACGCCAACAGCAAATCCAGCCCTGCTGAGATCCCTAACCCCCACCTGCCCCCGAGCAGCGAGATGGGTTCCCACCGCCGCCTGCTTCCCCAGGCAGGGACCGCGCAGGGCCAAAATCCGCTTACGAAAACCCTTTATTGGTGCCAGGACTCATCTACAACCCGATCGGCAGGACAAGCAGGGGGAGGGGAAGTAACAGAACCGCGCCGCGGTGACCGCGCACACGGATAACGGAAACACGTCGGACCTCTCTGCCGGCAGGACGGGGGCTGAAGACAGCGTAGTGCAACAAAGGACACCCATCAGTCGTCCCCCGCTCCCTGGTGAAGCTACGTCCGGTGCAGCCATCGGTGCCAGTTTGCTGCACGGGCAGCCTGGGGAAGGAGGGGGCCGTCCCCCCGTTCTGGCGGCTGAGAGGGGAGACAGCTCAAAACACAAATCCTGTAAAACCCCAAAACTGTTACGTTTAAAAAACAAGCAGCACCCACAGCACCAAGGGGGTGAAGGCCGAGCCTGGCAGGGCACCCCCAGGACAGACACACGCTCACGGCTAGAACGGGGGGGCAGGGAAGAGACTGAACGCAGGGAAAGGACGTGGTAAGCACCAAGAGCCGCTTCGCCCACTACATACCATGCTCCCGGGTCACGCCGGTGGCTGGGGACGCAGCCTGCCTGGCAGGACCCGGGGCTGGGGACCTTCCAAGGGCAAGCTTTGCCAGAATAGGACAGAGCCATTTGTTTGCTGCTCCCTGTCCTCCTAGGCACCCCTGGACAATGCCTCAGTCAGGCTTCCACCTCAGGGGGACGTGAGCACCTCCCATGCCGTTCCACGCACAAGCGTGCCCAGATCCAGGGGAAATGGCTCAGATGGGAAGGAAAATCTGAGCCAAGGCAGCCCTGAAGGAAGGGGCTTTGTGAGGCTCCCCAAGAAGCCCGTCCCCAGGCTCTGCAAGCCGGTATCAATCCCACACCTGGGTGCTCATCCCCTCCCTGAGCTGATCCGTCTGTGGCGACAGGTTTCCAGGATGCAGACAAAATGCAGCAACCAAGAAAAAGTCACCAGATGCAAGGCTCCTTTGATGCTCAGGTGTGAGCGGAGGGCAGGTGGATCTGTCACATCCACAGCCCCTCTTCCACCCTGGCGATAGTGCTGTCTGTGCCCAAGGATGGGAGGAATCTGGGGGAAACTGGGAAGCATCAGGGACAGCCCAGGGGTCCTGCCAGCTACCACAAGGAGCCAAGCTCTCTGTTGCCGTCACACACAGAAGCATCTCCCCTTCCCTTTGCCCCAAAATTGGTGCTGTAGAGCCAGGCTGCAGAGAGAGCTCCTCCCTTCTTCCAAGCAGAACAGCAGCACAGGGAGAAGCCTCAGATACAGCCTGGCTTTTGGAGGCGGTGGCCCTCCAGGCAGGAAGGCAAGAACAGGGCATGTTTTCCAAAGTGCTGGATGCCTTTGGGTGCTGATACTAAGCTGTATCAGTCCTGCCTCCCTGGCAGAGCGCGCACCCTGCAGCTCCAGGTGAAATCAGAGCTGGCAGAACCAAAACAGCACGAGTGCAACGGCCAAAAATCCAGGCGCCTGAAGGCAGCAGGCATGTCTGGAAATGTGCCCGCGTGCCTCCTGCCTCGGCCGTTCTCAGGACGAGACAGGGGGAGAATGTCAGGCAGGGAATGAACTGTTTTGTGGCCGCGCGGGGTGTGGGCTTAGGTCCCTCCAACTCTGCAGCCCAGCAGTGAGTCCGGGGTCGGCAGGCAGTCAGGGCACACTCAAAGGGGGCAGAGTGCACTGCTATGAACTGATTTACTGTCTCCAATCTCACCTTGGGGTGGGGAGGGGTGCTTGAATAAATCTGACTATTTTTCATCCCATTTCAATAAACCAAGGACTGCAGCAAAGGGTGAGAAGTCAGGCTTAGCATCCCAGCAGCTGGAAGCCAGCAGGATCCCTGCCTGGAGCATTCCCCTCAACGCTCAGTCAAGCAGCAGCAATTCACAATCATCAGCTAATCCGTGTTCCCGATCCTTCTCCACCCTGTATCTCGTACTACCCTGGACACGAGGACAAGGCAGTACAGGAAAGCTCCTCCCTTCCTGCCCCAGCACTTCTGATGGGAAAGGAAGGGAAAACGGCTATTGCTGGGAGGCCAGGGAGGCTAGGAAAGGGCAGGCACACTGTGGGGGCACTTCTTAGCTGGCTCTCCATCAGTACCGGGGGTAGATCCCTCCCTAACGAGCCCTCTGGGTCAGTCTCTGCCGGCCAGTGTCACACGGCCAGGCTGCAAGCTGGGAGGTGCTTGCTGCGTAAACTGGTGAATCAGCTCTTTCGCCAAGCCCCGTATCCCCTCCCTCGCTGAACCCAAGCCAATCTGTGCCCTGATGCAGAGCAGCACGTCGGTGTTACGCTAGCGTTTCCCCCACTCCCAGGGAGGACACCTGCAGCTGGTTCGCGGGGCCGGCACCCCCACAACCTGGCCAGCCCTGCCGCCCCGTGCCGGAGCTCAAGGGAAGGATACGGTGCAGGGTCATCCGGCGGGTGCTCGGGAGGGGGCTGGCGCAGCTCGGCGCCCTGGCTCTGGAGAACAAGTACACGGACGAAGGTGCTGGCGTCACTGGGCTGGGCAGGGTGGGGCAGGGCTCAGCAGGCCGAAGGCAGCGAGTTGGACTCCACCTTCAGTCCCTTGCTAGCAAGGAAGGCATCCTGCTTGGGCTCGCGGCCGAGGAACTTCCTCAGCATGTCACAGGCATCCACAGAGCCGCCAGGGTGCAGGATGCAGCTCTTGTAGTCCATGCCCACCTGCAGGGACAGAGGCCGTGGGGTAGAGAGGGGGCAGGGGCAGGACCGGGCACATCCTGCGGGTCCCACTCTGCAAGCACTGCACCTCCTCAGCTACAGGAGATTTTCCAGCGTGCTTTGTGCTGGCCAGCTGCTCCCTCCACCCCTCTCCTCCAGCAGGGCAGATACAGCATTTCTCTCGGGAAGGGTATGATATCTATCCCTGCTTTTATTCAGCTGCTTTTACCTTTCTAGTTTCCCCTCACCTTGCAGTTCATGATGCCCTCCTGCTTGAAACGTGTGTGGAACATGTCCATGGAGTACACCTCGCTCCAGAGGTAGCCATAGTACTGGGCGTCGTAGCCTCCAGCCAGGTGCCCAAACGTGGCCGGCATGTTTGTCCCTGCGGAAATGCGACAGATGGGCGGTGTCACATTGGTGGATCTCAGCAGGAGCCAGAGCACGATCTTGCCCTGAGCATCGGGGGGGAGACATCACTGCTCCCACTGCATGGGGATTCCCCAGCCCAAGCCCCTGACCGCTCGCCCACATTTGGGGGGCTGGTTTTCATGGGGAGTTGCCTGCCACGTGCCAACTGCATGTGGCACTCCGGGGTCCCCCCTCTACTGTGTGCCAGGCACTGAGGATGCAGGACTGAGATCTGCTGCCTTTGTCAGCTGGGGAAGTGTCTGGAGGCCTCACCTGACTCCAGTGCACCCAAGCTTGTGGGTAGAGAGAGACGCCTGCTTCTGCCCTGGTCAGGCAGTGCTGGGCCAATGAAGAGCCTGCTCTGGGAGATGCCAGAGCACAAGGGCCAGGCCAGGGGCAAAGCTCCTTCCCTTGATCCCATCGTTAGAGACCAGGCTGGCCACGCCAAGCAGGTCCTGCAGAGGCAGGGTGGAGGGGCAGGCAGGTACCTGGGGTGGCAGGGATGCCCAGCACCTCCTCGCACAAGCGGGCGAACACCTCGGCAGGGTCTACCTGCGTCTGGGTGTGCAGCACCTGGTCTACCTTTGCCAGGACGATCTGACGCAGGTTGAACAGCCCTGTTGGGGGGGAAATAACAGCGTGACGTGGCGTTTCTGCGGGGGCACAGGCATCTGCACAGCACTGGGCTCAGGCTGGCTTCAAGTGCCTGTCCCCTTTCCACTATCTGCCAATACCCCTCAGCTGACCCCTGCCCCCTCAGCCAGCTGGGGGTCACCCAGCAGCCCCAGCTCCCACCCCAGGGTGCCTCCTGCTACTTTAGCCCCAGCCCTCAAGCCCCTCTGAGCCCTGCTAGCCCTCACTCTGCTGGCAGTGGTGACATAGGGGCTCCTTCTTCACCAACCTCCCCACTGGGCAGTCGTAGCAGAAGGGCCAGGCTCTGCTGTGACCCTTCTGGTATTGCCAGGATGAGCCTCTGGGGCTGAGCAGACCCCCTGCCAAGCCCTGCACCCCTGCCTGAGCCAGCCCCTACCAGTGTTTGCCTGCCGGGACTGGATGAGCTTCTCCAGCAGCTCGTCAGGGAGGGGGTTCCCGGTCTTGTAGTGCCGGGACATGCGTAGCAGTGGCTCCTTCTCCCACACCCAGTTCTCCAGCATTTGCGATGGCGCCTCCACAAAGTCCCGCTCCACATGGGTGCCACTGAACATTGCAAACTCTGCCTGGGTGGGGGGGACATGTACGCACCACTGCAGCACTGCCCTGTGCCAGCTCCACAGGGCTCCAGCCTTCCCCTCCAGCATGGCCACGGTCCTCTTCTGAGGACCACCCATGCACACCGTGCCCTTGTGAATTCTCTACCACTGCAGCACCCAGGCAGCCCCCTGCAGGGCTCTTCCCTGGCTGTAGAACATAGCAGGGGCCAGAGCAGATGTTCTTGTAGGCTCTGTTGGATAAATGGCTGCAGAAGGGTCTGCAATCAATGCCCAAGGACCCTGTCCCATCCTGCTCCAGTGAACACCCCAGGGGGCACAGCACGGAGAATCCCTCCGGCAAGCAGAACAGCCCCAGCTGGCCATGAACAGGCCAATACTGTTGGCCCATGAAGAAGTGACCCAGTGTGTCACGGACAGAGGCAACCGCTTGTACCCAGCCAGTGCATCACTTCCCACTGCTGCTGGTTACTGCCCAAGCTTAGCCCAGGACCGAGACAGGGAGAAAAGGGGGCTGCAGGAAGGGCATCAGTAGGACAGTGTGCATGGGGGAGCGCTGGGGGCTGTGGATCAGAATTGGGGGGTGGGGGTGGGGAGAGGAGTTGGCTGATCTGTCAGGGCAGGTCTGCCCAGCCCTGGGTCACACAGTGCCTGGTTCCAGGGGGGCAGCGATGGGCCAGCACTGTGCTTCTCCCTTCCCCGCCCCAGCTGAGCCTCACCTGGGAGCAGAGCTGATGCATGACATGCCCAAACTCATGGAAGTAGGTCTCCACCTCGTCATGCTGCAGCAGGGAGGGCGCGTCGGGCGTGGGCTTGGTGAAGTTGGCCACCATAGCGGCCACTGATATCTGCCGGCTGGAGTCTGGCAGCAGGCAACCAGGCTGTAGGCCAAAGCAGGCCGCGTGCCCGTATTTCCCTTCCCTGAGTGGGGAGAGGCTGTCAGGTGGATGTACCCTCACATCAACCATAGCGTCATCATGCCAAGCCACCACCCAGGGCTGCAAGTGCCCTTGGAAGACAGTGAGAGCTGGAAAATCTGCTACCTCCACTACGAGATGCCCTCCGCCTCCCTAGGAGAGCCCCCTGCCAAAGTGCCACCCACCCCTCGGCTGCAGCTGGGGTGGGGCTCACCTTGGGTACAGATCCAGGTAGAACTTGCCGATGGTCTCCCCCGAGGCACCGTCCTTCACTGTGTAAAGCTGGACATCCTCATGCCACACCTGGGCGCCCTCCTCCAGGTGGAAGCTGAGGCCCAGCAGCTCCTGGTAGATGTCGAGCAGGCCCGCAGTGACCACCTGCATGGGGAAGTACTCCTTCAGCAGGTTCTGGTCCACGCTGTACTTGGTTTCTTCCACCTGGTTCATGTAGTAGCGCATGTCCCAAGCATTGATGCGGTCGTCAAACACCAGGTCCCGTTTCTCGCACTCTTTCTTCTTCAGCTCCAGGATCACAGCCCGCTCCTTCTCGCCCAGAGGCTTCAGTTTCTGTGCCAGCTCATCTGCAGGGAGTGAGAGCTGAGTCAGAGCATGTGAGCAGCACGTGCCCAGAGCCACAGCCCCCACCTCTGAGCAGAGAGAGCCCTACCAAGGAAGGAGGCTACGGTCCTGCTGCTCTTGGCCATGTTCATCTCCAGCACAAAGTCAGCATGCGTGTTGAAGCCCAGGAGCCCAGCTTTCTGAGCCCGCAGGTCCACCAGCTCCTTCAGGATCAGGCAATTCTCCTGTGAGCAGGATTCAGCAAAGGTGAGGGTCATGGAGCTGGGAGCATGGGGCAGGGAACAAGCACTCCTGGAAAAGCACCAGCCAACAATTCTCCCCATGCCTGGTCTGCAATCTCTAGATCCTCTCCTGGATGCAAAGCCTACACAAGGATTCCCCACACCCACGACCAGCCATCCAGGACCCAGAATAGAGCTCATTCCTCACAGCCCACACTAATCCCTTTGCCAGCTGCGATGGCTGTTCACATGACACGGAGTCTGCAGCCTGCCACGCACATGTCCCACACTGCTGGGCCAGGCTGGGGAGAAACAGTGAGCTCCACTCCCCTCCTGCTGCTCTCAGCTGAACACTGGACCTCAGGGCTCCAGGTCAAGCAGAGTCTGGCACAGGACGAAATCGCTGGCCTGGCCGAGGCAGTGGGGGCAGCCTCAAGTCCTGCCTACCTCCTTGCACCGGGAGTTAAACATTTCTTCCACTTTCCTCCGGGTCTCAGGCACGTAGCACTTCTTCAGGAGGGGGAAATAGTGTGGGTACTTCAGGGTGACCTTCAGCTTCCCATCCTCCATTTTCTCCAAGGAGTTCAGGAAGTCCTCAGGCAGCCCCGCTGGGGAGAAGAGGACAGAAAAATGCAGCTGACTGCTAGAAGCTGTCACCCAGGCACCACCCAAACACTGC